ACGAGAGATCACTTCGCCCACTGCCTCATCGCCTTTGATAATGTTCCATGTTTTGATAATCCTTCCATGGGAATTTCTTCCTGACGTTTCGTCCACAACTGCGGTGGACATTATCAAATTGTTCATTCGTGATCTCGACAATACCATCTTCTCGGTCAACTTTCGGCTCTTGAACTGCTGGATTTTTATATTCTGGCTCGTCCACTACTGCAGGAACGTCCACGATTTCAGTGTTTTCCACATCATCAGTCACTTCCTCGATGTTCTTTAGTTTGCCTTCAACGGTTGTTTTCAGGTCGTCCATTTTATTCAGCATCTCTTTGTATKTGTCMTTCATTTTGTCCATTTTTTCGTCCAATTTCCTRCTGTTGTCGCTCATTTCGTCCATCMTTTTCCTACTGTTGTCTTCCATTTTGTCATTCATTCKGCTTGTCGGGATTAGTGTGCGTACCCTGTGCGCACCCTGAGTAAATCAGGTTGGCAACATTGGCCTGTCAATGTTGCTAGGCAGCGCCAGAATCTKTTTGTATTGTCATAGACATTATCACGACAACTTGTCTACCAACTACAACGTTCAAATACAGTCCACTCATTTTTAATCARCTTATTCTATTTGGCTCAGTAGTAATTGTCCCTAAAAAGAGTTACGAAATAATAATCGGGGTTACTCATTGACCCCACACTGYTCATTTCGTCTTTCATCTGCATGAGCAGTGCAATCAAACTGGGGTTCTCCATTGCAGGGTCTTCCTTCTKTGATTTACTTCTRKTTTCCATCAAAATTCAACTTGGATTCTGGTAAATCCCACTTCTGACACCAAATGCACCGTGGATGGCCGAGTATCAAACTCTTTCTTCAGCTTCCAACTTTTATTCAACTGGGTATAAGTTTAAATGGGGAAATTTCAGGAACCGTCGTCGGCTGGGGGATCAACGAAAAAGGGGAACTGTCGCAGAACCTAATGCGAATCGAGCTGCCCGTCATCTCCAACACGGACTGCTTGTTCTCGAATCGCAACTTCTCGCAGTTTTTGTCCCACAACAACTTCTGTGCGGGGTTTCAGAACGGTAACACCAACGAACTTAATCCTCAGCTGGGAGTAATTTGGGGCTTTTCAGACACTGCGGTTTGTAACGGCGACTCGGGGGGCGGCATGGTCTTCCCAAGAAGCGACACAACCGGCCCCAACACAGTGTGGCAGCTGAGGGGCATCGTCTCACTGGGCGTGGCCAAGCAGAGCGAGTCGGTTTGCGATCCGAAACACTATACAGTTTTAACTGACGCCGGCAAATATTCGCAATGGATCAAAGACACTATGAAGGATTAGTGCGCATTTTGCCACCCCAGCTTCGACTCAGTGTACCAAGTGGGGCCCTGGAGGGGTTTCGGGCTCCTCTATAATATGTGCCACCGTGCCAGACCAGAAGATGTATATTACTGAAAATTTTCCACTTTTTCAACAAAACTAGCGGTAGTTTTATTAAGCCAATTGCTCCGTTCCCATCAAGAGACAATGTGCAAAGTGTCCCAACGATAAAGCAAAGTTTACGCTTAAGTGGAATTTGTTTGAAAATTCTGGAGCTTGAAAATAGGTACATAAATTTTTTTTAAATATGCGCGTTTAGTACCTTCAAATAAAATCATTCCGTTTAGCATTTGTGCCTTAATTCCTCAAGTCTTATGCAAGGGCGGATCCAGAGGGGGGGAGTCATGGGGGTCATGACATGGTTCTTGAGAAACTTCGAAAAAAGCAGCCTCCGAGAAACATGCAAAACGGGACGGAAAACATGAAATTTCGCAATAATCTTGCGCCACCCTTGCACAGATCGACGATCATTTTTCTAATTTCATAGATAACAGAAGACTGTATTTTTTCTACATAACCCCCCCTGTTTGTGCCTTAATTCCTCAAGTCTTATGAATATGAATTTCCGCTATTAAAGACTAAAATACCTCTATTTCCACTAACTACAGCCACCAGCCAATTCGGGCTAATGCGAAATGACCCATCGGCCCTTCAATATGCGATTCATCAGGGTTCGGCGCCCATCTGCCGTGCTCATTCGGGTTTTCCATCCGTGCCGCTGCACCCTCTTCCGCTCTGACGGTCTGGGGAAGTGCACCCTGATTGCCGAGCGGCTCAGAATGTTGAAAAGCCCCCCCGGGTTAAGGGGCGCTGCCTCGCGCGTCACCAAAGAGTGGAACTTTGGGGCACTCTGGCTGAGCTTCGGCACCAGTTTGCTGGAACCACTCAGGTTAAAACTAGAAGGGTTGGAGGCGGGTGAACTTACCTGGTGTTGTGGCGGATGAAGCTGGCAATTAGAGACATTGTTTGCTCAGTTGAGACGAGTTTTAGGGGGCAAAGTGATGAAAATTTTAAACTTCTGCACTCTACTGACACAAGTTGTACATAACCCAGCTTTCCCAGAGATTAGAGATGGACGAGTGCAGTTTCATTCAAGCAAGAGATCAATAAACTTCAATAGGAGAGCAGTTTCGTAATTTAAAAACAATAGGGGGTTGATCTGGACTTTGGCTACAACCTTCAGCCCTTAATCAGTAGAATTTTGCTGGCGCTCCCATCTCGCTCAGACACTTGGTAAATAAAGCGAAATGGAGATACAGTTGAGGACACGCCATTACAAAAACCTGCCGCAGCCTGTAATTTCCCATATTTTCGTGTGTTCAATTAAATTATAAGAAATTAAAATTTTGCCCTGAATGACCACTAATGTTGTGATTTTGCAGCGCTAAAAAATTCGTAGTTTTAGCTCTGACGACATTGCCAAACCCCGCTTAAAATCCTAGCATACTTAATACAAAACTGAGATACAAAATAACAACCGCAAGTGACGGTCAAGGAGAATTCAACTAGCCGGCAACAATACAGCATATACAGGGTGGGCCCGAAGTGATCCAAATAATCTCATAACAAACCGACTAAGAGCGGTCACTATTTTTTCGAAGCAAGTAAATTGGCGGTAAATTCGAAATCTTGACCGCACTTGACCGACGAATAGCCGCAATAACGAGAAACAAGAGCGCACATTTATCTACTCTTGGTTTGAATTGAATGCGATCCGACCTGTTTCGTCCATCTCTTGCCCGAAGAAGCAGGAATTCAAGTCTATGGATTGTTAATCGCGCGTTTTTCTCCAAAAAAGCACATTAAAGCGAATACGCACATTTCAGGTATAAATACTTAAAGCTTCAAACGGGTTTACGGTGATTTTGGGAAATACCAACTTTCAAATCCACACTTAAGGTGATAAATTTGAGTATTTCTGTCGACTGTTGTACTCCTGCTGCTGCGTTGGTGTGTGTGAGGAGAGTTCTTTGAGGAATCGACCGAATTCAGGTGAGCTAAGTTTAAAAAATCCAAAACCCGGCTGGTTTGACTAACCAGTAAGTCGCCAAAATCGCATTTTTTCATAATTAATGCATCAAAAGCCTGAAACCCAAATCGCTCTCGTCGGACCATGGAGGTCAACAACAATAAATCAAGAAGATTAAAAAAAAACCGAAAATATTCACGTTACTCCCGACCAGTCCAACTGCATCATCAAAGCATAAAATTGCAATAAAAATTAGTGGGCGCTTTCCGCGTAGTCTATAGCCATAAACAGTTCATAACGAAACTGATGGGTTTTTAGGCCGTCGTTCGGTAGAATTTCTTCTTAACGTTTCGCAAGCACGAGTTCAAGCAAACCTCCTCTGAAGATGCAAGCCACTCGTGCTTGCGAAACGTTAAGAAGAAATTCTACCGAACGACGGCCTAAAAACCCGAAAAACCCATTAGTTTCAAGGAGTGGCCTCAAAAGTACATCTTCTTTGATAGTTCATAACGACTTACCCGCATCTACAGAGTGGCCCAACCATGCTGGCATCGCTGCTGGTCGTCTGGGGAGTGTTTGGGGCGGCAATTTCGCAGCAGCTGATCTCGCCGTGCCCCAAAATCTTCCAATACGAGACGCGACCTGAAGAACCGGATCGCTGGTACGGAACCGCCGTCCTTACTGGAAGCCAGGATTTAGTTGGAGTGTGGTTCCGCGTGGTGCTCGACAGCACCGCCCTACAACTCGGGGTGAGTACCCAAACACTGGGGCTTTTCTTACGAACGTTTATTTCACATCTACTTTACATTTATCGAGATTATTTCCATTTAACAATACTGTCGGAATGCATATTTACATCTACGGTTCATCGGAAACACACACAACAGCTCTCAAATGGGGAAAGATGCAAAGTTTAAACCGGAATATTTGGCCTTTGAGTGTGAGACTAGAGGGTGAACTTGGGGATTTTTGGGTTCTCTGACTGGGCGCTGAACAATGAAAATTCTGGGCAATTAGCCAGTGCGGAAAATTTGTGAATCATCACCATTTGGACGCCCTTTACATCGGGAAATCGAGCACCTAATTTAGGTAATAGCGGGAAATAGATTAAAATGCAATTAAGCCGAGCGTCTGCAAGTGCTCAGATTATTCACTGAAAGAAGGCACAACATTGATTTGTCGCAGTACTCCTTAACTAATCGTAAATAAACGCCGCTCTACCAGCTAACTAAGCCCGTTGTTGAGCCTTTTGGCTCAAAAGTGAAAAACTATGACCCTTTTCCAAAAATAGACAATTTGCTTGATAAATAGGAATCAAAGTCAACTGAAAGGCACATTAATGTTTGAGCAGTGCGGCTAAAAAGCCCTGGATAAACCGTTTAAAAAATGCAACAGATCCAGGACTGTTGAGTCCGGGCGCCACATGAGCTCAAAAATGAAATTCGCTTGGTTGATGAACACTGGCAGCATTGTCAACCGGGCAAAACCCAAAAAAATCCCATCAGCATGCAAATGACTGCAACGATGACGAAGTCTTGCCGCCGTTGGCAACACTGCCCAATCAGTCAGTAAGATCAGATCGAGTAGGGGGTGGCCACACACGGCAAACCGGGCCGTGTATGGCCAGCATAATAAACACTAAAACGAAACACTCACGCATAAAATCAGCAAACCCTTATTCGCACGCTAACTTGCCATCAAAGCTGCTCAGAGCGATGGCGAAAGCCTGTAACGCGCATAAGGGATAGCGATAGTCCATGGTGAAGGCGTCATCGGCCACCCTGCCGAACTGCATGACCACGTACTCCGGATCGCTGTCGTGAACAATTTGGAAATTCTTCACCGAAGCCTGCGTCACCCTGCCGTGGAAATTCAGCACGTAGGACTGCGTGTCGTCGTTCCAGACCGGCGTTTTATTGCGCAGCAACACCAGCCGATCGTTGCGCCCGGACTTCCAGGCCTCCACCAGCGGCTCATCGGGGCCAGCGCGCCGGCCCTCCGACAGAGCAGGAACGAGCACGGTCATGCGCCGCGGCCCCTTAAAACCCAACACATTGGCGTCGTAGAGCACGGCTGCCAGTTCCTCCTTCGGGGGGCCTTCGCTGCTCTCCTCCTCCTGCTTGGTGCCACCTAAAACTCCGCAAATTAGCCTCCAATCGCAATGCGCCAACCAACCCAAACCAACCTGCGCTCTTGCCGGCCCAGGCCTGAAACCGGGTCCCCAGTGCGTTGCTGCGCAGCTTCCCCACCGCCCCTGAGCCCCTTCGCGATAGGTCAGTGGCGTCCGCGCTGATCACGTAGTGACTGGTGGCGCTCTTTTTCCTTTTGCGCGCCGCCAGCAGCAGGGCTCTGCGGCCCCTGGGGCGCTCCAGCTGCAGGAAATAGGTGGGGAAGAGCCCCCGGTCCACGCCGCGTCGGTCACGGGTGATGCGACATCGGAACAGCACCTGCAAGAAAATGTGAGGTAGATTACACAATTTTTTCAAAATTTGACTCCAAAACACTTTTAGCGGTGAAGGGGTCAAGTGCGAACGCAGCAACGCGCAAGCGATCGTGCCTGTCACCAACTAACATGCGCGCAAGCGAGACGACCGATATCAGCTACGTTCTTGAATGGGAAACTCAGTTTCATTTAGCACCGCTTGAAACATCCAATGGATAGTTAAGCGCCACTGTTTGAGCAACTGATGATTTCAGTGCTGACGTTTGGCTAGCCAGCCTCATACCCAAAAAATGACCCTCACTTAACAAGCATACGTTAGGAATGCAGCTGATTTTCGGCCAGACCAAACAGGCGGCAAATTCCTCTGGTGCTCGCCTTGTCAGGTCTGGCCGAAAAATACGGGACTCACCCTCGGGGTGGCAGGTTCTAAGACAAAAGCGGCCAGGTCGTCATTGGTCAGATCGCCTTCAATTTCCAGACTAGCCGGGGGCGCAGTGGCCTGGAGATTATCATTGGCCATGTCGTCCAGATAGTCGGCCAAAGGGTTAACCGGAAGGGGCAGGTTGCCGTTCTGGTTGGGCGCCACCGGCGACGACTCCTCATCCTCAATATCGAGCAAGTCGCTGCTTGAGATGTTGTTGGTTGTCAGGTCCTGGACCATTGTGTCGTCTGAAGCATCAGAACCGAAGGTTTATTCGGAGCGCTTTAAGGCCCCCCTTGGACTTACCCAGACTGTCCACACTGGACATAACAATGATCTGATCGGGGTTGCTGTCCTGGCCCATGGCAAACTGCAACGGACCGTCGTAGCCATGCAGCTCCCGTCTGCTGTTTCCGCTACTATCTCGACTCTTGCCCGAGTTGCTGCGGGCGTCCGAGGCCTGCACCATCCCCCCGGCCAGTCTCTTCTGTCGCATTTTCTGCTCCAAAATCTGCCGTTGGTGTTCCAACTTTTGCGTTCTGGCGTCCATCGCGACTGATGATCATACCCTTGCACCACTTCTCTCTATTTGTAGTTACTAAATGTTTGTTGTTGCTCCGGGAGATTTTCGCTCGACAGATCGATATTTCCCTCTAAATAAATTGATATCATTTTCGTTTGTGTTTCACCTACATCAATATTTTGATTGTTTTAACCTTACTTTTATGGCAATGCGCGCGTGACCATAGCGTGTGTTTAGCCATGTTGCCGCGACCTAAACTCCACAGTAGCATCTAGTTGATCAGAATTCAAGGGGGGGTACCGTGGGATTTAGCAGATGTGGCGGAAAAAGCAGCCGCACGGCAACGTGGCGCCCAGTTTACTCCATTACTCCACAGATCACAGAGTGGCTCTGTGATCTGTGGCCTACTCAACTGAATACGTTCAAAAATAATATACAGGGTGACTGAATCCTGACGCAAGCTGTCAATTGACGATGATTTATGGGTTGTTGCCAAAAACCGCTGTTGCTCATTAATGATCTACTCCCAATTGTAGAACTGGTTTGGGGAAGTGGAAATCAAAGACCACAACAAGGGCTTCTTGGTCAAAAACCCAGACTACCGACTGAAGGCGGGCACGCCCCTGACAATCAAGTTTTTCGTACGCTTCGACCCCAACCGGCCGCCCCCCAAGCTGGTCAGCTTGCGGCTGAACGCTGTGTAAGTTGCAACTTACGTGCTAATAGCTGACTGGGCCGCTTTTTGCTCTTAGGGTCAAGTGCCCAGAGGATGGCGTGGTTACGGAGGCCCCGTGGGCCGCCGGCCATCTTTTCACCAACCAACCCGACCTTTCGGACCCTTCTTCCCCTGACTTCGGAAACTCGCCCTCTATAAACATCCGCCCACCTGGAAGGTAAGTTTCAGACAATAGGCGTAGTTTCCGCTGAAGAAATTTAATTTCAAATAAATGTCGCAGAAGACCAGGCTCCAGCGACGACGAGGACTTTTACCATTCGGACTTTGGGGCGCTGTCGCTTCCAGACAGCGGGAGGCCCCAGGCGAAGCCCAGTCTTCTGGCTAAGGCCACTTGCGGCACTGTAGTGGTAAACCCATCCAAGGCCCCCATGGCTTTCAAACATCTCCAAACGCTGATGTTTCAGAAGTCTCCAAGGCCGCTAATCACTCACGGACAGGCCATCGGAGACGGCGACTTTCCTTGGCATGCCGCCCTCTATCATGCCCAGGGCATCGACTTGACTTACACTTGCGGGGCTTCACTGATCAGCCTCCAACATCTCCTCACTGTGGCCCATTGCGTGACCAGGAAAAAGAGCACCAACAGCATTAACGCGGGCAACTTGCTTGTTTATTTAGGTAGGGGCTGGTCTCTGTTCACGCTCAGTTCTCAGAACATGCTCCTTCAATTTTGCGACAACGTTGAGTCGATTGTCTTCTGAGTACGAAAATTTCCAGTTGAATGAGTGGGATGTTCTGTGGTTGGTTTCAGGGAAGTTTTATCTGCGCATCTGGAAAACGCCCGGCATCCAGGACAAGCGGGTGGATTCGATCACAGTCCACCCCAAGTACAACCCGCACACTTTCGGCAACGACGTGGCAGTGGTGAAGTTGGCCGAGCCGGCCGAGCTGACCAATTACGTGCGGCCCATTTGCCTGTGGGAGGGCAACTCCAAGCTGGATTTGCTGGTCGACCAACTAGGTAGGCAGGGTTCATTCAGAGTGTTAAATGGGGCTAGAACTGAACGTTCCAGGCACGGTGGTTGGCTGGGGATTCGACGAATCGGGCAAAATCACCGAGCAGCTCACCAAGGCCAACATGCCCATCGTGTCGCAGGAAACCTGCATCTACTCATTTCCAGACTTCTACTCCAGATTCACTAGCAACACCACATTTTGCGCGGGATTCAAAAACGGTAAGCCCAGTCGCCTTAGCTGTTCTGATAGCGGGTTTGGAACTCCCCTAATTTTCCAAAAATCGCAACATTTCCGCCCTATGTTCAGGTTTAATCAGGAGTTTCAAACCACCATTGACAACTTTTCTTGGCCGCATAATTTTACTCTGCTGATCATTAACAGGTACATCGGCGTGCAATGGCGACTCAGGAGGCGGAATGGTCTTCCCCAGACCGGGCTCAGACAAAACCAACCCCGTCTGGCAGATCAGAGGCTTAGTTTCGATCAGTGTGGCCCTCCAGAACGGCTTCAAGTGCGACTCCTCGCACTACACGGTCTTCACCGATGTGGCCAAGTTTCTCGACTTCATCAAAGGCGCCACGACGGACATTCTATAACGGCTCTATGGGCATTTTTCCGGTCAAAATCACCTCTTCTGATCTGCAGACATCGAACCTTGCGATCAATACAAGTCAAAGGATATTAATTAACATTCAAGACTGTTTCGCAGCTCAGTATGGGGCTGGTTCTATGCTTCCCAGGCTGGATTTTGACCTAAAAATACGCCTTGGCGCTTTTGTACTAGATTTTGAATCCCGCCGGTGTTTCCACATTGGTGATTGGCTAATTAATTCCCCAAAACTGATTTTTCCATTTTGTTTATATGTCTATTCGATCAGTAATACAAATCTTTAATTGTATTGGGTACGATAATAATCCACAAACACCTAACTATGTACATGCTGTGCACTTTCGCAAACTAAGCAAACTGCTGGAGTTTCAGGACACGCAAGATATCGGTGGCAGTTAGGAGCAGGATCTGTTAACAACGAAATGAACCTCCCTATGGGCCACAGCCTAGCCAAGTTCAACTAAGAGTAACTTATTTACAGAAACGTAAACCTATGAAACTTGAATCCTTGTACCTCCCGTCGTTTAGTACTAATATCTATATTAAATAGCTAAAATTCATATGTTCCTCTAGAAGCGATGTTTGCAAGGCCGAACCTCTGCATATGTATATCACATTTTAGATTAACCTTAACGTAAAAAAAATATAATCAAGTGTTTAAGACCACATGACTGTATATAAATAATCATCTACTACTACTAATATTGATGATGATAATAATAGTGAATCTATCGAGGGGAAATGTCGCGCTTTTGATCAACATTCCCCAACTGGAGGCAATTCAATGACGAAAAACGACTGCTTTGGTAGCCCCTGATTGGAGTTTTTGGGGCCATTGAAATGCGCAAGCTACTCACTATACATATCTTAATGGGGGGAAGGAGCGCTGTCTCCACCTAGCAACCGCAAGCGTCGGCTCCGTTGTTGGGTCGCTGAGCGTTGGAGAGTTTGATCTGGTCGGGGAATTCGTTGTAGAGGTCGACCGTTTGATTTTGCTGGGCCAGCGCGTTTTTGGCAATCGCCAGAAATGCTTGTTCGACGTTTAGACCCTCTGAAATATTCACACTGGCTACAACAGAGTGCCTAAGGCGATTGGAGTTGGAAATTGAGGAAAATGGAGAGAGGATTACGTTCCCTGCCATTGCATTTAGATGGGAGGAACAAGGACCGCGATACCTCCATTCAGCTGCCTGGTCAAAAACCTGACCAATCAAGGCGGCGTCACAGAGGCAACACTGTCAACTACTGTGCAAACACCCGAGTGGTGATATGGAAAACAGAAAGAGAGTTTAAACGGGAAAATATGCATACTTTTGGGCCAAGTGGGAAAAACAGGAACAAAACACTGACCTTTGGCTGATGTTTCAAAATATGGAATACTATTCTTGCTTTGGCACCATTGTTGGGCCCGCTTGGCACTGATGGCCCTCGGCTCCAAATCGACCTTATTGCCCAGCAGCACAAATGGGAAATTATCCGGCTCTCTGGGCGCTGCCTGGATGAGGAACTCGTCCCGCCAACTGTCCAGCGATTTGAATGTGTTTGGCGCCGTCACATCAAACACTGCAAGATATTGTTTGATTGAAACCATGCCCATGACTCACTGATAGTCAATGTTATTAAATTCAAATGATATGAATCATCAATAATTAGGGAAGATTCTTGCCTAAAACACAGCAATCGGCGCCTCTGTAGAAAGCGACTCCTAAGGATTGGAACCGTTCCTGTCCGGCTGTGTCCCATATTTGCATGGTGACTGTCCTGGAAGGGGGATCAATGAGTCCAGGCTTTTGCCTTGGGCGATTAGCTGCTTACCTGTCGTCAATGGTCACTTCTTTGGTGAGAAAGTCGGCTCCAATGGTCGCTTTGTACTGGTTGGAGAACTTGCGATTTACATACTGGTTCATTAGGGACGTCTTCCCCACACTTGAGTCTCCAAGGATAATGACTTTGAGAAGAACCTTTTTATTCGATGCCATGACCTGCAAGCAGCGCGTTGATACTAACTAATGCAATTACGCCTAATGGGGGCGGAAGGGGGCAATAGGACAAACACACAAATAGACCTGCAGCCTGTATTGACAATGAGAGAATACCACATACTCAGCTGATTGTTTCTTTTGGGTCAAAACAACACTAATTAGGGCCAAACTGCTGAGTGCTGCCCATATACTTACTTGAGGGGTAAAAGGCACAAAATAACACTGAAAACACCCAAAACACTAGCTGGAAAACACTGAAGAGTTTTACTGCGTATGATCTATGACACTGACTGACTGACGGACAATGGAAAATGGCGTCGTGTGTTTTCGTCCTAGGGACTTTGTGATTCCCCAACAGACAAGTTGGCAATGAAGGTCAGTCTATTATCTGTCCTTGTTCAGCCTGTTAAGAACATAGGAGGGTGGAAACCCCAGAATTGTTTTTTGCCAACGAACAGCTGATTGCCAAAGTCATGTGACCAAGTTCGAGCGTTCATTGGTGGACCTGAGCATTACCTGCACAATCCATTGTTTGACTACATGAACCATATAAGGTCCTTAAGCGCGATTTCTTGAAGAGCGAAGCAAATTGAGGATGTTAGTGCTGAATGTTTAATTCACCCTCGGAATTATTTAGGAGATTCTTTCCAGCAGTGTTGGTGTCGTTTGGATCTATTAGGCTAAAGGTTCCTAGGGACTTTGATCTGATTGGTGTCGTGGTCGCCCCCACCAGTTATTCGAGCCATTGTTTTCCAAACACAACAGCAGCTGAAACTTCGCAGTGAACGTCAATTGTGAATTTTCCTTTGCTAGGAAACCAGTGGAATTTCGTTAAATTTTGGTGAAAATATGCGTTTCATGTATAAAGAAGAGTTCCCGTTCGAAAAGAGGAAAGTCGAAGGCGAGAAAATCCGCCGAAAATACCCCGACAGAGTGCCAGTAAGTTTCGTCTGTTTTGCGTACAAAGAATGGCCGTCGAAGTCAACGACGCAGTTCAATATTGGGACATTTCATCGATTTTTGCCAATTTTCGCCGTTCGAGAGATATTCGTATGGCACTTCACACGAAAAATGCCCCAGTGACGTCACGGTGTTGTTATTACTTAGCCAATATTGGTGTCATGGCCTCAAGGTTATCAGGCAACTACCGAAACTGGCTTTAAAACAGCAAAAAGTCCCTGAGCAGCGTTCCAGGAATAGCATTCGGGATGCCTGGATGTCCAGTTACATAAAAGTCACTCGGGTTTCTTGTTGTTTTTCCCCATTTCTCAGTCTGTTTACAATCTGCAAAACATACTCAAATGCATCAATTTGCAGGTGATTGTGGAGAGGGCCCCCCAGGCGAAGATTGGCGATGTGGATAAGAAGAAGTACCTAGTCCCGTCCGATTTGACTGTGGGCCAATTCTACTTTCTGATCAGGAAGAGGATCCATCTGAGGCCCGAAGATGCACTGTTCTTTTTTGTTAACAATGCCATTCCCCCTACGTCTGCCACCATGGGATCTTTGTACCAGGTAGGGGATTTACCAGTTCACAAAACAGGAATTTTTTATTGGTCCTGCAAAACTGCGATTATTTTCATCAATGTTTATTTTTTAAGCACGGTCTTGGGTATTATCTAATGCGGTCAGATATGGGAAGAAAGTATGAGTAATTCGTTAAAATTTACACAATGTAGTGCACATGACAATAACGAAGTGTGTTTGAACCGTCCTTTACAAGTCAGAACATCGATGGGACTTTTCGCCAACAACCATCGATGTTCTGAACAACTGCACATCGTTGTGAGATCGAAAAAATCAGATAATCGGTGCTGCCTTTTCCGATATGAGTTTCTAAAAAATAATAGTTTTTAATCTAGTTGGGCAAAGCCCCTAAAATTCCACTTCGACCCTAGTCTTTCACCTGAATCGCAGTAGTTACAACCAAAAAAACTTGTTATTTCAGGAGCATCACGAGGAAGACTTTTTCCTGTACATCGCCTACTCGGACGAAAACGTTTATGGAACCAAGCAGTAACTAAATTATTTTTTTCCAATGTCGGTATCAGCTGCGTAAAACCAAGCGCCAGCTACAAGCGCGGCTCTTGCGCAGCTGATCGAGATTTTATTTTATGTAACTATATAAACAAATAAACACTGTACAAGGCACTCTCGATGTAAATGGTAAGTTTTGGCCGGAATTTCGTGTGAGTGAACGGAGGGTAATTTTAAGATTTTGTTCATTTCCGCACTATGCGTTGCAGGACTTAGGAACGCTTGATTCTCTAAAAAGTGTCGAGACGCATTAGAATGTAGATATAACTGTACAATAAAAACCTGAAAATAAACAAAAACTGTCGGTTTTATTCACCTCAGGGATACCAATGAAAACGACGCCAATCATCAGTTACACGTCTAATTATTTTTAATAATTAAAAGATTGTAAATACAACAAATAATTGCGTACCCCCCTCCAAGGGATGCGATTGGAACATATATAAAAATCCTATTTTCAGAATTAAATCATCTTCGGGCTGTTCTCGATTAGCGGTTGGAAAAATCTATGAATTATTTTACTTAATCGTAGGCGGCTTACGAAGTTTCCGCCAATTTTTCGGCCTTTTGCACGACTTCTTCAATGGGGCCGACCATGTAGAAAGCGACTTCGGGCAAGTGATCGTAGTCGCCGCCCAGGATCTTTTGGAATCCCTGAGAAAACCGCGAAAACCATCAGCCCAGCTCCATATTGATCGAATTTGGGCACTTACCTTAATGGTTTCTTCAAGGGGCACAAGTTTGCCAGGATGGCCGGTGAAAACTTCAGCAACCTGGAAAGGCTGCGACAGGAAACGTTGAATCTTGCGCGCACGGGCCACAGTCAGTTTGTCGTCTTCAGACAACTCGTCCATACCCAGGATGGCAATGATATCCTACAAACCATGGCTTGAAAGCAGCTCTTGTACTGAAACCGGTCCTGATTACCTGCAAGGATTTGTAGTCCTGCAAAATCTTCTGCACACCACGGGCAATGTTGTAGTGTTCCTGCCCGATAATGTTGGGGTCCATGATACGCGAGGTTGAATCAAGAGGATCCACAGCGGGGTAGATTCCCAATTCGGCGATGGCACGCGACAAGACAGTGGTGGCGTCCAAGTGAGCGAAGGTGGTGGCTGGTGCGGGATCAGTCAAGTCATCAGCTGGCACGTAAATGGCCTAAAACAATCACAATTGCAAAAATCTATGATGGATATAAGTGTGAAAACAAACCTGTACTGAAGTGATGGAGCCCTTCTTGGTGGTGGTGATTCTTTCCTGCATGCTACCCATGTCAGTGGCCAGGGTGGGTTGGTAACCGACGGCGGAAGGAATACGACCCAAAAGGGCGGATACCTCGGAACCAGCTTGGGTGAATCTGTGCATCGGCATTAATTAGCATCCCCCAAAAAACTCTCCGTAAACCTCAATATACCTGAAAATGTTGTCGATGAAGAGCAGCACGTCCTGTCCTTCTTGGTCACGGAAATACTCGGCGACAGTCAGTCCGGTCAAGGCCACACGAGCACGGGCGCCTGGGGGCTCGTTCATCTGCCCGTATACCAGCGCTACTTTGGAGGTTTTGTCCTTGAGGGAGATGACTCCGGACTCAATCATCTCGTGGTACAAATCGTTACCTAACGACAAGCTGTTTAGTACACGCGGGGCTCAAGGGGCGCAACTACGGACCTTCACGGGTACGTTCTCCGACTCCAGCAAACACAGAGTAACCACCATGGGCCTTGGCCACGTTGTTGATCAACTCCATGATGAGTACAGTTTTGCCCACACCGGCACCGCCGAAGAGACCAATTTTACCTCCTTTGGCGTAGGGGGCCAGAAGATCTACCACCTGAAACGGCACGAAATCCCGTAAACAAAGCCTGTGGAAGACACGAACATTCAATCACCTTAATTCCGGTCACCAGAATCTCCTGTTCGACGCTCATGTCGACGAACTCGGGCGCTTCAGCGTGGATGGCAGCGAGCTTGTCGGTCGGAATGGGGCCCCTCTCGTCAATGGGCTCGCCAATAACGTTCATGATACGACCCAGAGTTTCAACACCTGCAACAGCAAGTTCGATGAGTTGATGAAACAGCGCTGTTTCGCCGGAATCGCTCACCAACTGGGATCCTGATTGGGTAACCAGTGTCCAACACATTCTGGCCTCTGACCAGACCCTCAGTACCGTCCATAGCAATGGTACGCACGGTGTTCTCTCCCAAGTGCTGGGCGACCTAACAAAACAAGGTTTAATTTTAAGCTTGAACCGATTTGTGAAAGTACATGCTGGTGGATTCGTGTCAACCGCAAGACTCCCCAGTCGAGTTGAGCTTGCAAAACGGTACCCCAAAAGCCTCCACTCTGTGAACACGCTTTTAGGGGTCAATTTTGAAAGCTACACTCAACTGACAGGCTCGAAACGGTTCGTTGGATGACCCAACCCCAAAAGCTCATCTTTCACACGGAAAGGCGAGGATAATTAAGTGTTCGAAACAAAAACACCCCAATTCCCCAAGGTGAGAGAACCAGAAGCTGATTGTTCCCAGTTTGATCTAGCAAGGCAAATTTAATTAACTGGCTATTGAAGAGCCAACCAACCCTGAAGCTTGCACGGGGCACCAAGCGGATTTGGACTTACCTCGAGGACCAGCCTGGGGCTGCGGTTGGCGACTTCCAAGGCATTGAGAATGGGGGGCAGATCGTCCTCAAACTGCACATCCACCACAGCACCAATGACGGCCACGATACGGCCCTTGGCCTGAGCGGCTGCCGCTTTGGCCGCAAGGGTGCGATCTGCAAATGACCCCTTTGAGTAACTGGCCCCATTACATAAGGATTTTTAGGTTGGGATGCCAAGTTCAAAATGGTGGAATATTTCGATTATGCAACCGAAATAATTCGGCGAAAATCCGGCCGAATCAACCGATTGAAGCCTTAAACATACTGCCATTATAAGGAGGAGGATTAAAATCGGGCAAAACAGCCAGAAATTTACGTAACACCCGCCTGACTTTGACCTGCAAGTTGGCCGGACTTTGACAAGCAAACTGGCAGGTAAAACCCCGAAATTTTGCACTGAAAATGTACTCACTTTGTTGGAAGTGGCATGTGGCGACTTTCACTGATTCTTGTCCAACTTTTTCTAAGGTTTTTCCAGCCAAAAGGCTGGCGGTTCTTCCAACTGCACCCAACATGATCCACTAGGTACAAAACTGAACAGTTCCCACTTTGGCCGCTAGGGTTGCCAATGTCTTCCGGTTGCGCGGTGGGGGCTATCAGGTGCGCAGCACTCCAATTTTGAATCATTATGCAATTTTTTTACAAAAATCGCCTAAAGACCTTCACAAGAACACTTCGAATCTTTGGTTATCGATCGGCCAAAATACAACGGCTCTAATATGATTAAAAATAGAACAACTAAATGAGACGGGTGATGATCTCTCTGCTCATTTGCACGCACTTAAGCCCCCATTATCCCCGCTTTCTTCAGTTCACATTATCGATCAATAAATTAATCAACCCTAAGCTCTTGGGACTAACTTCGCTCAGCAACTACAGCATTCTGACAGCCAGCTGATAGTCAGTGTCAGAGAAACACACAGTTGGTGTTTTTGTGTTTTCCAGCAACAAAGAAAATGTCCAGCCATCGATACATCAAGTCCACAAATCCATTCGATGAAGACGACGATGTGGACGATGAAACATTTCTGCGAAATGCGCGCAGGCCGGCGCCCAGCAACAGTTTTGAGGCTCAGGTAGCCCCCTTGAGGCCCGCCCCTCAGCGCCAGTGCTATTGTTCGATTTGCAGGTACAGGATTTCCAGGAGCGAAAGCGCCAGATCGAGGAGAACACGATACGCAGCACCCAACACAGTCTGAGCATCCTGCGGGACTCTGAACAGATCGGAATTGCCACTGCTGAGGAGCTGATGAGGCAGCGGGAGAAGCTGGAGAAGACCGATAAGCAGCTGGACGACATCAACAACACGCTCAGGTTTTCGCAGAAGCACATCAATGGCATCAAGTCGGTGTTCAGTAGTTTGAAGAATTACGTGTCTGGGAGGAACGATAAGAGCCCCACTACGTCCAGCTCGACGCCTAGCACTGTTCGGGTACGCCAGTGGTAAAAAGGGGGCGATTTGCAGTTAACTTAACTTCTTCACTTGATCCATCAGGAATCCACGTCGAATTCAAATCTGCACCAGAAGCTGCAGACTTATGATCGCTATGATGAGCATCCCGTTACTCGGCTTAGGGGCAACGACTACAGTATGCCTCAGCAACAAACGACGGGATCAGGAAGCAGGGATTTCAGTGCAAAATTGGACGCAAACTTGCAGGAAATGTCCAGCAATATATGCAGGTAATTGATAAACTAGCAGCTTTTTAAGCAAATCTAAGCCAGAGTGTTTGCAGGTTAAAAGGACTGGCATGCGAACTGGGACAGGAAATCGACTCCCAGAATGATCTCATTGATAATATAACTTACAAGACCGACCAGGCCGATTTGAGCATTCAAAGGCAAAACAAAGACATGGTGAAGATTTTGAAAAAATAAACCAGTTCGATTATATATGAGCGTAAATAGGGCATGTGGCCAAAGGTCGGGGGCTGCAAACAGAATTTGATTGGTGGAACAGTACAAAACTGCCGGAGTTTTAAAGTCTATTAGTATTTATGAATCTATTTGTATATTGTGCATGATCGAATAAACTAATTTGCATTGTTTTCTGAAAAGATGTCGTTATTAATTAGTCATCAACCTGTACAAACAAATCATGATAAACACAAATCTCTTAACTACGATTAAGATTTGAATTTGAACCGTCCGTAATCGTTCATTAGAATAATAGCAGAATGGAATTTCTTGCGTTTCGCAAGATAAAACTTCTATTCTACGGCCCAAAAGCCCGAAAAACTCAGCAATTTGAAACAGCGGTAGCACTAGGGATTGGTCAACTCAGTTACATGCCATGGGATTATTTCCGATAGAAAACTTTATTTTATACTAGCTTGAGTTGAATATACAGGGACAGTTAAACAAAACTTTTTATGGAACATCGCAAATTACCTAACCGTCTAGGTGAATTGCCCTTGGCGTTTTTTGTAAACAAATTATAAATAAAAAACTTCACTTATCTGAAGAACTGTTCACCACTCAAAGCACTAAATCACTGGTCATTGGTCCTTAGCCTATCCAGCTTTTCTGATCTCGGACTGGCTTTTTTGGCCTTATCAAATAATAATGTACAGGATGCTGCTGCTCTGACAGCATGTTTTGGGATTATCGGCCCCTGCCGCCAGAGCCTGTGCCCATCTGGCCCTGATTTTGCCACGGGGCCCCTCCTCGGCCCCGAGTAGGAGGCCCGCCTCTCCCTCTGCCCCTCGCAACTGAAACAAAATCAACATTGAGTAGGAAACTTGAAAAAGGTTTTTAGTTTTCGAATGCATCATTTGCCCCTAAACCAACTCTTTTGCAATTGAGTGCAGAGTTTGAGCAGTGCTGTGCGTCTTACCTTGAGCCCTGAGTATGCCAGACTTGCCCCTTCCTGCCACCCCTGCTTTTGTCTGCTTCTTGAACATGGGGGCGTTCTTCAGCATGTCGGGCAGTATGAGAAAGCGGATTTTTGAGCCGCGAATGTAGACGTTCTCCAACTGGGCCACCCGCCCATCCCGATAGGTTACAGTAATCTGAGTTAATTGGCAATTCATGTTATCCTCAGCTTCGATGAGTTTTCCTCTGTAGACTTCGCCGGTTATTGTCTCGCACGTCACTATGTGGCCTTCGGCCTCATGGAGAACTTTAATGGGCACACCGATAGACATTTTGCTTTATTTTCCTTTAACTAAACGGGAGAAGAGTCTGATATTGGGGCAGATGATTGGAGATTTTCGGAATTCGGTTGTTTACTTTTAAGGATTGTTTGGACGCCGGTCAATGACAAATGACAGGCAGTTGGTTTGACGTTGCCTGGTTGGTTTTTGGMGATTTAGAAGGTTGGTAGTAGTGACSTTTTTTAGCTGAWACCCATAGAGTAAGTAAAATATTTTTTATTTTACTTTCTCTATGCCGAAACCCCMAATGTTTTTTTGAGCAGACTGGTAATTTTTTGCCTGGTTAAATCGGTTGATTTATTTGGTAATTATTTTGGGGAATTTTTGCAAATAATTAATCCMAGGCAAGTGGTCAGTTGTGCGCATATTTCGTCTTAAATCGACCAAGAGTTTTTCGCGGMCTGTAAATAGGTGCGAGTTGCTAATATTTAAACAATAATTATTTCAAACAGGCCTGCAGATTAGAATCTGTTTTAAATCTGGGAAGTTTTTTTCGGGAATTTTGCCGCTGTTTGGTTGGCAGGCCACCCGCAACCCATTATTGACAAATCCTGACAGTATGTGTTTCACCCAGTGACTTTCAGTAGGTTTTGTAAATATGCTGATATTTTGGTGAATTTCCCGAAGTTTTCAACGATTTTAAGAGTAATTTGTATGCCCATTTGGCCCTCCGGTATTCGACTAGTGTATAATGGACGCCAAGCGCAAATTATCGTAAGTATCTTTGGGATTGAAACAGCCAACCTCCAGGCGGAATACCAATATTTTAATGGGTATTTTCGGGTGTATTGGGCCGTTTCGCTCCCGAAAGAGCTTCTGTTTTGTTAGAGGAACCTTCAACGCCATTGAACAATCATCAGCGATTGGAATCAGTTCTTTACTTTCGGATCTTCGATTGATTTTCTTTAATGATTTTTCCAATGCCATTAGGGACGGTTTTGTTGCCATTTATTTTCGATAAAACTGTGTTGCTGCGTTCAGGGCGCCCCACAAATTTGAGGTTAATGTCGTTTGTACTGTTAACGGGTGGTGAGTGTTGATTGCGGTAGATTTAAAAAAAATTAAATTAAGGCTCACTGCCTTGGCCAGTCGCGATTCGGGGAACCATCGGATTGAGTGATTCACCCATAATCGATCAGGCTTTTATAGTGAGTTTCTTATCTGTCGGCTCTAAATCACCGCAGCTAACGCTCTTAATCCTGCTGGGGCTTCAATGGCTTCCTTGCCCTCTGATATTGCAAATAATTACGGGTGTTTGAAGCGATTTGTTTGAATTTTCAGCACTCAGGGCGATTCACTCTACGAAATTCTGGCGCTGCCCAAAACTGCGTCAGCCGATGAAATCAAGAAAACCTATCGGCGCTTGGCCCTCAAGTACCATCCAGACAAGAACCCCAATAATCCGGATGCTGCCGATAAGTTTAAGGAACTGAATAGGTAAACAGTGGCAGTTTCGCACGGGAATCAAATAAACTGCACTGTGCGGTTTGTTTCAGGGCCCATACGATCCTCAGCGATACCACCAAAAGGAACATTTACGACAATTACGGCTCACTTGGTCTTTACATTGCCGAGCAATTCGGCGAAGAGAACGTGAATGCTTACTTTGTGGTCACATCCAATTGGTGCAAGGTAAGATCCTTCCTGGGAAACTTCGAAAAAGCAGCGTCATGTTCAAGTGGATTTTGCAACTCAAAAAAAATCACGCAAATCTAAACCTTCTGGAATTCAAGCATTTTTTGAGAAAACTGCCAACATTTCCTTATCGATGGTTCACTTTCTAAAAAGGCCATTTATTTCTGCTTAGAATGATGTACAAATGAGCGTTCTTGCTCATTTTGGCCTCCGAGAAATGAGCAAAAATGGGACGGAAAACATGGAATTTTGGCATAATCTTGCACCTAAGTGTCTGATATTCAAATTTCGTTTTCGGGGTCAAAACAACTCGAATTTCCTCACTCACGTTGTTTCGACTGAATCGACTTTTCAATTCTCTATCCAACGATGCCAAAACGAGTTCGGTGGCTCAAATGGTTCTTGAGAAACTTCGAAAAAAGCAGCGTCATGTTCGAGTCGATTTTGCAACTCAAAAAAAACCACGCAAACCTAAAACTTCTTGAATTCAAGCATTTTTTGAGAAAACTGCCGACATTTCCTTATCGATAGTTCACTTTCTGAAAAGGCCATTTATTTCTCTCAAGAATGATGTACAAATGAGCGTTCTTGCTCATTTTGCTTCCGAGAAACATGCAAAACGAGACGAAAAACATGAAATTTTGCGATAATTTTTCTAATTTCATAGACAACAGAAGAGTGTATTTTTTCTACATAACCCCCCCTCCCCTGAATTTAAAGCCGGATCAGCTCCTGATCCTTCTTCATGTGTTTTGACGGGCTTTGCCTTTGGCCTCGAAAATGTTGCCTTCTGAGTGTGGCTCATAGAACTGGTAAAATTTGCGTAGCAAATCGGTCAAAAACGGCATCTTTACACAATTAGAAAGCGACAATGCTTGGTAGAAAAATGTCCTTTTGCTTGTGCAGGTAGTATTGACCATCCGGGGATCAGCAAAGGCAAAAACCCTTTGTTCTCCCTGCCGATTTGGCACGGATGCATACAGTGTTCATTTTCACTCTTATTCACTGATAACTTTTACATTGAATTGAACGTGTTCTGCCAATTTGCCTTTTTCTTTGAGGCTTGATGTCTTGCGACGCCCTGAGGGAGAAAAAATGGGTTTTGAAACGCGCTATCGAAATGATTCAGTTTGAGGAATATGAGCGGGTTTCGATTTATTTTGATGTTTTGCTTCTATCTTCAAACACTAGGATTTTCTGATAAAACCGGTTCGGAGAATGGAGGTTCCAATGACTGACTGGGAATTTTGCACCGTTTCTGAGGGAAACTCAGAAGGGAAACGATGGGCTATCGAACAGGTCATTAGGACTGGGGCGATTTGTTGAGCCGTTTTTAACGACTAATCCTTAATGTTTTTAGCCCAAATGTAGGTGCAGATCAAGGGCTTTCGAACCGGTTGGTGCGACCGATGCAAATTTGCCAGTTAGTTTAGTCAAACCAGAAAACCCGTCGCAAACACCCAGACTTTTTCGGATGCACAACCGCCAGCCAAAATAGACGATTTACAGTCCAAATTTCCGATAAAGACAAACGCCAGTCCCCCAAAAATACATTCCAATTTCTTATCGGCGTCTTGGCTACAGTAGAGAACCCCCGTTATCGGCTTCGTATCCAGAAGTCGCGATAAACAATGTGTTCAGTTGCTTCACTAAGCCCAGTTTCTCTCGCTGAGGCTCGTCATCGAGACACGCCAACATGCCTGATAACTGCAACCCCATCGTGCTGCTGTCGTTTATCGAAAGCCTGCCGCTATTGGGGTGCAAACTGGAAGTGCGAGCTGAAACAGCCACGCTTCAACCAGCATTTAACTGATCAGTTTCTGTTTGTTTTCAGGCGCTGTTCTTCATCTGCGGAATTGCCACCGGCTGCTACTGTTGCTGTTGCCTGTGCTGCTGCTGCAACTTCTGCTGCGGCAAGTGCAAACCGCGGCCTTCGGAGGACTGCAGCAACTATCAGACGTTGAACGTAAGTGGAAATGCGCTTGTTTTTGTAGTGCTTTTTCTAATCGGTGCGAGATTCCGCGCTCACGTTTTGGCTTGAGTCGATGTTGCGCTCATGCGACCGGTCAAGGACTGTGTGTAAGTACTGGATCGGGCCCAGCTGATGGGGGGGCGCTCCTCCTGCCGGTAAGTCGCTTGTTTTGCTCGCTTGGCATTTTCACGTTGTTCAGTTGGAAGCTGCTGGTGTGCCACCCGTCCTGGACCGTCCAGGTAAACTACTCGACCATCACTAGTTCTGTTTTGTCGTTTTTGCGTTTGGGTGTGGTGTGCAGTCTTTGGCGTGTTTTCCTGTGGGCCGCCCAGAAGCAGCAACTCAAGCGGGGGCAACCCTCTCAAGCTTTTTGGCAGTGACGCAGGACGTTCTTTATTTTCCACTCGGAAATTTCATGTCATTAACAGAAGTTGTACATACTTTCCTGACTGTGTTTCAATTCCAAATCAAAATTAATTCCTGGGTTTCAGTCATTTATTGTCTCTATTTATCAAT